ACTGAGAGGAAGTTTCTGCCCCTTTGTCCAGATTCTTCTACTCAGATCTGCCCTGTGGACCTTCTGTGATGCAGGCCCATCCTCTGGGGGTCCACTCTTGGGAAACAGCTTAAATGCAAAGCTTTAAATACTAGAAGCCTAAATAGGAGCTTCAGCTTCTCCATTTTCTAGCAGAGTAATGATCTTGGGCCAGTTACTTCACCTTTCTGAGCCTCAGTTTCCTTTCTGCTAAAATTCCCCTTGTCCCTAACCTCAGAGGTAATGCCTGCTATCTATAGGAAGTGATTATTTCTCATTGTTATTTCTTTTATTTCTTGGGTGAGATGATGACATCATGAGTATCTGCAACTTTCTTTTTATATTATTTTATATTATCAGTGCCTGCCGATGAAAATCATTTGGTGCTATTGGACTCTGCTTCATTTACAGAATGAATGAGACTTTCTCTCCTGGGACCTTGATAGCCCCAGTATCTGATGCACTGTCTTCCTGGCCAGTCACATCACATGACACTATTCTCTGCTAATGACAGGTCTTCATTAATTAGATTTGTTTCACTGATTTCCAGTTAAAACATTCAAAGGCAGCAGGGACAGGTTCATGTAAACTTGGCAGCTCCGTTGTGTCAGATGGTTGCGCTGATCTTAAAGGACAGGAAATCTCTTTAAGAAATCACTGTGGGAAAAGGTGGTGACCAATTGCAAAAAGAGAGAGAAGGGAAGCACCTTTTTGTTTGTTTGTTAGTGCTCAGATCAACAGATTGAGCTTTCTTGGCTTTCTGAGATGAATGAGTAAGGCTTCCCATGATGACAGCCATTTAAGAGTTTCCTGTGTTCCTGCTCTATGCCCCATCACTTGCAGACTGAAAGCTGTCCCCAGAGAAGACATTTATAGTTCAACAAAGAATACATATTTTTACATGCTACCTTCATCAGCCACTTTGCTTCTCATTCTTTTACATTCACAATTGCTTAAATCTGTCTCACAGCCGCTCTCTAGGTCAAATGCCTCCCTGTCCTGCTTCTAGGGCTGTATTTGCAAACATTGAGCTGTTTGAGATTAGTTTTCAGGCAGATAGTTTATCCAAAACAAGCTAATTCAACGAGTCACTGCAGGTCAAGTCCTTGGCCTCATGGGCACATAGTAGGTGTTTAATAAACACTGGCCCCTGCAGTTACTAACAAGTCTAAATTCACTGAGCTTATACCTTTGAAATTCAACCTTCTAATTCTTAGAAAAAATATTTTTCTTGGTCTGATTTTTGTCTAGATGGAAAAAAGGGCAGAATCAGCAAAAAGGCCTCAGACAAGTCGTGCTGTCCTACGTCTGTCGTGCAAGTCCAAGGCTCTCCGGGTACAAGGGCAAGAGGGGCTGTCCTGACTGCTTGCATTTCTTTGCATTTTTTTTTTTTCTTGAGAGACCATATCTGCCTTTTGTCAAAGTTTCAAAGCAACCCCTCTGGGGAGCACAGATGCTAATGATAAGGTCTTGGGGTTACAGCCCACTGTTGAAGTGGCCTGGTGGTGATGTCATGTGGATTAAGGCATGTTATCTGAAATAAGAGCAAAACTCCCACCACTGATTGAAGCAGCACACAGCCCAACCTTGGGCAGGGCATGATGCTCCAGGCTTATTTTAGAGCTGAATGAAAGCAGGCAATTATCATGTTCTTTAACTATAATCAGCAGAACAGGATACAGGTAGCCACAAAATGGAGTTATTTAAAACAGTAACAAAATCACTTCAAAAAGGGTAATAATCTGAAAGTCTCTCTTTCTGTAACATCTAGTTAAAGCTGTCTAAGCGTGGAGAAGGCAGGGAAACCTTGTTTTGTAGCCTCCCAATGCCAATGCCAATGATTCAGGAAAGCTGCCTTGTGGAATGGAAGGCAGGAATCCTGGCCTGTGTGTCCCCAGTACAGTTCACTTTAGTCCCACCATGTGGACTGGAGCCATTGAAAGTGATCCCAGGAGAATCCTGAGCTCCCTGTCATCTGTCCTCTAGGTGGTTGCCTTGGCAAGGGGCCAGCTGGTCCTACCTGGTCAGGTGACCCCACACAGTCACTCAACTTGATTCTGGATGTTGGTTGTAAGAACTTTTCCTGGGAAGCAGTTCCTGTGACATCCCAATAAGACACTGGGATGGGCACAGGTCTGAAGTCTAAACCTTTCCCAGAACCTTTCAGCCTGCTACTGGACAGAAGGCACAGGGAGGTGGCTTCAACTTAGCCCCATCTAATGGCTCTGCCACTAGTGAAATGTGAACTGGGTGACAGCACTTAGACTCCCTGAGACTGGGCTGACCCGTCTGTAAAATGGGCATGACTAGCGTCTCATGTAAGACAGGCTGAGAACAGCGTATGCCCTGTTGCTCAGTGGAGTCTAGTAGACGCCATCTGCTGTTAACACGGTCCTCAGTGAAGCCTGCAGCAGAAGTCCTGCATCATCTCAAGGCAATCCCAATATTCCTTCTGAAGATGACTGACACTGCATTGTATTCTGCATCATGTGGCCCAGTGAACTAGGAAAGCCAGGAAGCGTGTCCACCCTACAGCCAACTGGGTAAAGCCTGAGTCAATTCCCATTGCTGTAAACACTCCCACTAATTAATAATGGCAATGATAATCATATGGATCAATTCTAACAGAAGCTGCAGCCATGTCTTCTCTTAAATGCTTCCTCTGTGCAAGGAACTGTGTTAAAGGCAACATACACATAATCTCATGTAATCTTCATGACCACCTTCTAAAGTAGCCATTATTCTCACCATTTTATATTAATAGAGGAGGGAACTGAGCTAGCAAGAGGGTGAAAAAACAAATGAAGCATGTAACATTGCAATTGGAGACGCTTTAGAATTTGATTTCAGGTGTCACTGAGTCAAAGCTAGCATTTTAAACATTAAATCACACTTCTGTTACATGGGTCTTTGAGTATAGTGTGGTTTTAAAAGTCCAGACTCTAACAGGGAGTGAACTTAGATCTCCTTCTGCTGTAAGGATTGTAACAATGCTAACATAGTGCTTAGATCTCCTTCTGCTGTAACATAGTGCTGGTGTATTTCAGTAGAATTCCCCAAGCCTGATTATCTAAACCTGAGAACCTCTCTGTGAGTCATTTCATCATGAAAAATAAAGGCTCAGAAGTCTGCTTACAGTTTCACCATGGGTAAATGGCAGAACCAGCCTTTAAAGCCAAGCCATCCTGCATCCACGTCTATAAGAGGGAAAGCTCGTTCATCAGCCACACTACTGCTCACCCAGCTCTGCCCCAAGTGCCAAATCTGAAGATAGGTTAGCTGTAGGACAAGGATGGAAGCCAAATTCCTGCCAAATGCTACAAAGTGCTTCCAGAGGTACCTGAAAGTCCCTCAGATGAGGATGGAAACTGAGGTAGGGTGGGCCAGAGAGAGACAGGAGTGGCCTGCTGTGGTCAGTGGTTGACTCAAAGCTGGGTAGTGTCCATGGTGAGCGCTCCTGTGTGAGGCGTGTTCCTCGGCTCCCCAGCTTAGCCATTGGCTGATTCATAGGCTTCCTTTCTGCCTGGGGAATACAGTTTCTGCTTTCATCAACTGTGAAGCCAGGCAACAGAAGGGAAGAAATGTTCTGATGAGGGAAAGGCTTCAGGCTCTTGCTGGGAGGTTGTATGGCGAGCAACTTCTTCTGTGACCTTGCTGCCAGGGATGGCTGTGTGTGCGGTAGGGACCTGGTCTCCATCATGAGCTGGTCACATGTGGCCAGTTTCTACTTGGTGCCTGTGGGTGGCTCTTGTTAACTTTGATTGTGATGTCCCTAACTTGTCCAGAGGAAAAACTTCACATCACACTTGCCCTTGATCTTTCCCATCTCTGCTATGCCATCATCTATTTAAGATTCATGCAACCAGGAAATCACTCATGCACTTGACCCTGTAAACCCTGTGCTCCTCTGTGCTGAGTACTGTGCAGGTGCTAGGGCCAGCTGTGATACAGACCTGTCACCGGGAACTCTAATTTGGATATTTATTTCTGGCACAGCATTACGAATGCTTCACATTTAGCGGTGTGTTTTTTTCTGTAAAGGAATTCTTGAGGGGAGAGTTCCTTTCAGTTTTGTGGATGTTCTGGTGTTGCAGTGTTAACAGGTCCTCTGAAAGCTGCTGTATACTCAGCCTGGACTTCCAGTGTCTCTCCCTGGGGTGCTTGGAATAGCAGGAAGGGGAGCTCAGGGGAAGGGAGGGATGTGTGCCTTCTCTGGGATAAGTGATACACTCACTCCATCTAAAAGCTGTTCAGATGCGACCAGAAACTGTCATTCTCCTTTGCTTTGTAAATTTGTTAATGGGGAACTAAAATATCCAGAAAAGCTATAGTATAAAACTACTTTGCAGCTGAGTCAAGGTCTTAATTTGGATGAGAACTATACTTTTATTACCAGTGGAGAGAACATTTTCTTGTGTCATAAACTACTGTTTTTAAAATTAAGAACACAGTCACTATTATAGTGGTGACAAGGTGGGATTATAATCAATGAGTCAACTGGTTTCCAACAGGTGTGGGAAAAGTACCTGTTTTACCTTGCTCAGGACCTGATTCCCAGTGCTGGAGAGAAACAGACAATCCTCTTATTTCTGATCCAGCCCTGTCTCTTTCCAGTGCCCCAAGATCATGAAGACATGGCCCTGGACTCCCTCCAGGGTCCAGTTCAGAACAGCATGCTGCAGGCGGGTGATCCTTGTTCAAACCAGCATGACCCTTTCATCAGGTTGGGATGTGTCTCATCCCTGACGGCTCAGCATAACACCTGTATTCCCTTTGTTCTTCAAGCTCCCAGGAGTGACATACTATGGCCCCACTGCTGGACCCTGCCACGCTGCTGCTTGTCACCCCTGGTAGACTTACATTTGCTGTGCTTGTTACGGCTGCACCAGATGATGGTGTTTGTGATAATTCACCTTGCTGGGCCACAGTGTCTTTCAGTGCCTGTGTTTTTCCAATAACGCTCCTTTCCACTCTCCCTACAGAATCACCCTCTATGACTATCAAGCCATGTGCAGAGCCAACAAGGAGAGCAGTGACGGCGCCCGTGGTCTCCTGGACGTAAGTTTAGAGCAGTTGCCTCCAGACCCCTGATGTTTCTGTCTGTGTGTGAGCACCTATTGCTTTGCCATAACCAAGTTTATCTTTGTAAGACAATGAAATTTTTTTAAAATAATATAATAGTTTATTTTTACATCATTTTGTACATTTTTTTTCATCTCAATTGTAATCCCCGTGGGTTTCCCATCACTGAGTCACCCGTGTGACATCACCATAATCCCATGCATTTCCCTCCCCCTGCCCCTGTTTTTTATCCCATTCCCCACTCAACCCCCACAAAATGTCTCTGGTATATGGTTGTTCATTATTTTTGTTATTTTCTCGCCTGGTCCATTATACTCCTGCTATGAGTGAAACCATCCGGTATTTTTCTTTCTCTTTCTGGCTTATCTCACTAAGCATGATCTTTTCCAGCTCCATCCAAGTTGCTGCCAAAGACATGTGTTTCTTTTTTTTTTTTTTTGGTTGCTGAGTAATATTCCATTGTATATATGACAATGAACATTTAATGTTATTTCCTGACTTTATTGGTTAGGAAAATCCACTTGCGTGTCATCTCAAATGCAGTGGCCGTGCGAATGATGGACAGCTGTAAAATCAGGTGGATTCATGTAGCAGCCCCCTACTGATAAATTCAAAAAGGGGAGTTCTCCTGATCTTCTCATTCTCATAGAAACAAGAATTTGGTTTTGTTCAACTGCTCGTCCTTCGGGCTCACACTAGAGCTGCCATCTCGTGAACAGGCCCTCGTTTAGGTCACGGGTGCTCTGCCCCAGTCACACTGCTGCGAGGGTCAGCTCCACTTCCGTTGATGCTGCTTTGAAAACAACTATGAAGTTGTTGAAGTTGTTGAACAACTATGAACTATTGAAGTTCAATCAGTATAACTATAATATTTGAAATATTGTTATACTTGATTAGAAACTGGCTTTCAGTCCGCCAGAAATTGGTATAATGTACTCCTCATTAAAAGATAGTTTATAGTGTGCAAGCTGCATAAGCTTGGTGACCAATAACTTAAGACCACAGGAAAGAGACATAGTTTTGATATGTATGCCAAACTGTGTAAAGTACATATGCACGCATAGATATATAAATCCTTGTATGTTATCATTTTGTAAATGCAAAAAGCTAACATAAAGTTAACCTGAAACCCAAGATTTAAGAGACTCTTAGCCATTTGGTTTTAAAAACTATACTCCTTTGCATTTGTAGATAGAAGATCTTTCATTAAAAAATCAAGTATTTTTCATGGTTCTCCTACCTGAAGTTATGGGAAATGATTCGGAGCTGGGAAATTTTTGACAGGCAGCTAAGAATTAAGAGTTGGACATATAGAAAAGTATAACATAATAGTGCGAACCCACACGTCTCCTAACCGTAGCATAAATATTTCTAGGTTTACAGTATCCCCAAGGTACCTTTTCATCGTTAGGCTTAAAAGCTCAATATCTTTACCCTCCTGACTGATGTTGTGCATTTAGTATTTTTAATCCTGTATTTACAAAACCCCTTTATTTCCCCATCGATTCAGCCAGTGTCTGGCCTGCAGTGCCTGAGCACCCTTCCCCCATCTCGGCTGAGCTGCCCTGCTCTGCCTCCCTCCACCTCCAAAGCCTCCCCAGCCCTTTGTTCATCCTCTCCTCCCTCCAGTCCACTCTAGGAAAGGTGCCTGACAGGTCACCACCCAGCCCAGAAGGCACAGCAAAATGAATGTCCCATGGTGTGACCACCTGGGTGTTTTTTGAAAGAAAGATGATTCTTTTTCAAGTCAGAAGAAATACAGTGGCAGGACCACAGGCCTGCAAGGCTGCATTTAGTTTTGGGAAATAGTTAATAGGTCCCATCCTTATCTCACCCTAATCCTGAGGCTCTCTGATTCAGGGGATGATGTGGATACACTCAGTGAAATCAGAGCTAGACATCCAGCCTGCGACAGTCTGGGTGGGCCAAGAGAACCCAGTAGGTCCTGTGGTCGTTGCTGTGTGTTCATTTCCTTACTGACTTGAAAAAGTGATGTTTCACCTTTTTTTTTTTTTAAATGCATACTCCTAACAATGGTTAGGGGTGTATAAGTGGGTTTATTTAAAACTGGACAATCCCTCTCCCTGATCCTAGTTCTAGCCTTTATCAAAATGCTCAAAGCTGGGATCAAACCATTACAGCACTTCAGTTCTCCTGACTCCAGCACAAGCACAGGGTTCAGAGATTTCTCTGGCCCTGCCATCTGGGCTACAGCTTTGCCAGTGTCACTGCCTGTCTCCTAGTCCTTCCAGCACTTGCATATCTGGCATACCTAGGTACAAAGAACCAACTGAGGGGGAGATGTGGTATTTTCCAGAATTCAGGAAATTGAATTATCCACATAGGAAATATCACAGAGTAAACAATCCAACTGCTTTTTTTAATTAAAATATTCTGAAATAAAGATTAGGCTGTCAATGCCTTCTTTTATAGAGTGAAGGGGATTTTCAGCAAGGATAAAATCTCATGTTTATATGGTTATCATTTTTTTCAAGTCCAAATATGTAAGTGTGAGAAAAGGCAGCTTAAATTTAGCATAATTCATGGGCGGCATTAAAATCAAGTGTATGCAATTTTTGCTTGTTTCAGTGAATGACATACAGTGATGGAGAACAGGGAATCACCTTTCTGAGAGGCAGCCTCTGAATTACCATTGGAAATTAGTTATGTGATCCCAGGTCCTCAGCATCAGGCTGCAAAATATTAGCCCCTAGAGGGTAAAGGTTTAAGCATCGTTTGCTGAACTTCCTTTTTCCTCCCAGAGATAACCCCTGTATTAGATCATGTTTATTTTACTTGTAAATCACATCTCACTACAGGGAAGTTCAAAGTTTTAAAATGTTAGTTTTGGGATACAGTATCCAACCATTTTCTTCTTTTAGTTAGAGCCTCACTGGTTTTTAATCTGATATTAATCTCTCCAGAAGAATAACATTGTCTTTATGTAAAGCCTTAAGTTAAACTACAAATTTTGTGTGTGATACATTGTTTTTAATGAACTGAATTCTTCTCTTCAGCCTTATAATGCTTTCCTTGCTGCAGTAAAATGGATAATGACAGAACTTGTATTGTAAGTACTATTTGCTACATTAAAAAGAAAAAAAGGTCATTGCTTTTCTTTTGCACTGTAGAGTGAATTGGAGGCTGGGCTTCTTGCATTTAGTAACCATTAGATTCATAACTATAACCACTAGATCCAACGTGATAACCTCATTGAACATTTCAGAACATTGGATATTGACCCCAAAATGATCTTTTATTAAGTTATTCCTGGTCCCTGCTTATTCCCTTATGTCATTGTTTAGAAGACTAACAGCTTGCAATACACAAACCAAATTTATTTATTGTGGTTACTGTTAAATTTAACATAAGATGTCTGGCTGTTTTTAATGCAGCCTGGGTGGGCTGTGGTCAAAAGAACAAATTACCAGGGCTGTCCACTGTGCTACTTAGGATGTCTTGGCATGCGCAGAGCTAAGGTCTATGCGGGGTGGGCCAGGGGCCAGGCTTTGCTTAGGTGTGATTTAATTGTTTACCCTGTCAAATTATGGTCCTGTTTGGAAGGTCTTGGATGCATCTGTGAGTTAGGTCAAACAAAAATGACACAAAGATCAAAGACTTGACTTCCAGATGAGATACTGGAGACATTAGAAACACTGTCACACAAAAGGGAGGGATCCCATGGATTGACCATGTAAACCAGATTGTTTAAACTGCACCAAGCTCTTTCATTCTTATTTTCCTCATTCAGCCTCCAGTGCTGTGGGGTGAAGACAAATTTCTTGCCAATTTGATAAATAGGAATTGTCTATTGTTTTAATCTAGCCTACATTGATTTAACAAAAATTACAAACCCAAGTGAGTGGCGAGTAAGTTCTACACATGTATAAGAGCTAGGAAATGCAATCACAGGTAATAGTGGGTTTTTTTGTTTGTTTGTTTGTGTGGCGAATGAGCTGCTACAGACGGTAGTCACAGGGCTATAGTGGAAATGACCGATATATCTCCATTCATTTGGAGATGATTTATGTTACTTTTGTATTTTTTACTAGCAATTGAGAAATTTGGTTTAAGTTTCATCATTTCATAGAGTTTTGTCCCATCTGCCACTACATATATGTAGACACTCCTGTGTACACACATACATGTGATTGAACTAGTTTGCATTTTAGTATAAATTTTGAAGTTACTACGGATCATAGCCTAGGAAGAGAATGTTCTATTCATATTTTTGAAGCAAAGTGGCTAGCAACAAACAGAAGTTGACTGCATAGTAAGGACTCAGACTATAACTAGCAGGAGAGTTAAGAGTCCTTGCATCTAGGGCCCTCCCTGGTGGTGCATCAGGTTAAAGAGCAGCACTATGAAGCAATAGCAACCGCTCAGCATGAGTTTGATCCCTGGCCAGGATGGCGTAGCAGACCTCTTCTGCCCACCTGCTGCTCCCCTCGGTAGTGTACTTCATCAATCTGCCTGTTCTGCTCCCCACTCTGTCGCTGGTGAAGCTTCTCACCGCCCCTGTAACTCTGGCCTGTCTACCAATTCTGTATGTATAAATAAATAAATCTTAAAAAAAAAAAAAGACCTTGCATTTAGGTAAACCAGATTTCAGGGTTTGGCTGGTGATGATAAATTAACTCTTTACAGTAAGACAAAATCCAGTGAAAATTAAGTGGTAACTGAATAACCACATTGATATCTCCATGTTGTGCTATTGTTCTTTCAAATGAGGGAAACAACCCTAAAAGCATTGTTGCTATTCTATGCAAATTGTGGATGACCAGCTAACTTGGCTTTCCCATCATCTGTTTAGGTTCCTGGTGGAATTTAACCTCTGCAGTTGGTGGCACTCAGATATGACAGCTAAAGGTAAGCAACAACTGTATTTTATTTCTTAGTTCAGAGTGATAATCCCTGGCTTCACTGGCTGCTTTTCATCAGGGATGTGCTCACATAAAACTACCCAGGACAAAATGATGACTTTTCAGCTCAGTCAGCAAAAGGCATCCTTTTTATTATGTGCAGCACCATTCAGGCTAACAAAAATTCCACAGATTTCAGTCAGCCCACATTGATTGTACATGGTGGCCTGATTCCTCTGTGGAGGCTTTGAGGTCATCCTTAAAGGTAGATTCTTCAATAAGTTTGTGTGCAGTGCAGAATCTACAGGAGGGAGACACATCACCTTACTCCAAGTGAAGGAAAGGATAACCCTTCTGATACTTTATAGTCACCCTCATGATATAAATCTGATCACCTAACTTTCCCACTCTAAAGCCTTCCAGAATTTCAGCAGTAGTTAGGCGAATCTCCTAGAGGCATGAGTCGTGAAGTTAGATCAATATAGGTTTGAGTCCTTCCTCTGGCTTTGGCAAGTTAGTTGATCTCTTCAAGGCTCAGTTTCCCAATAATAAACAGTGTGGAAAATAGTAAGTAATATTTAATCCCCATCATTTGTGTGTGTCTATTTAATGATAAGACAAAGGATGTGATATGCTGAACTAAGTGACTAGAATACAGAAGTCAACAAATGGCAGCTATAATTAATTCACGATTGTGGTGGCAGCAGTGTTGACTGTGACCATGGTGATAATCCGGTCCCCGTGCCCTAAAAAGCCCCCGCTCCTGAGAGAGAGCCACCCCGCAGGAGATGCCCATCTGCTCAGCCACGTGCTGTCTCCCAGTACATGCAGCTCTTTCTTTCCTTCACACATGCATTCACATTTGAGGCAGATACCAAGGACTAGGGATACCAAGGACTAGGAGACTGCTTCCGTTATTTTAAATGTCATCTGTTTTTTAAAAGAGTTCTGTTAGTAACCTCAGCAGTTCCTCCTTGCTGGCCATATTTCATTTTGATGCCCCCCCCCCTTTCTTTAAGACTCCAGTCAGTGAGGATCCCTCTATTTTCCAAGGAAGGATTAGCAGCATCTTCCTGTCAGTCAGCTCACACATTGTCTCTGCACTGTTACTAACACAGTTGATAGAGTTTCTTGATGTGAGCTGCCTTAATTACTGTTACTCCTTAGAACCTAATTAGTGTTCAGCACATAGTAGGCGCTCAATCTTTGCTCACTAAATTACCCTAATCACCTTTCCTTTGCCAGTGGTGACCAACATGGCTTTGCCATAACCTTGCAATGTACAAGCAGGCCCATTTTTCCTGCGTTCAGGAAGTCAGGAGTTTCTTGTTAGAGTATGAGAAGGAGCAAGATATGCAGCCAGTTCTACATCTGCCTGGTGCAAGCTCTGGTAACAGTGAACCACAGGACTGGCTCATCTGGAGAAGCGGAGAGGCCAGTGGGCCAGGACCCAAGTGCTGTGCTCTCACCCACACACCTACTGTCCTGGTGACCCTCAAGGTGGGGTCTGGTCCTCACCTCCTCCTGCTGGCTTGGTTCCAGCTTTGAGTGCCCATAGAAAGACAACCTTAAGAGGAAAGGCTGAAGTAGAAACAAAGATTTCTGTGACAGGAAGATCATCACCAATGAATGTATGATTGCAATACTGCTAACTCTTTAAAGGATGGACAATAGGGACAGTGGGAAATAAATGACAGCCCATTTCTAGAAAGGCATAGAAAAGTTTTCAACAAGATTCTATTTTGAAGAACTTACCAGTATAAAACGTGTTGATGAAATTAGGTAAAGTAACAACAAAAAATAATAATGTGTAAAACTGTTTCTGCCTCAAAAAACATCTAATTTGGGGGCAGGGTGTAGAGTCAAATAGGGGCAGCAGCGGGTGTGAATAAGCAGGGACCACAACATGCATCCGGCAGAGAACACTATGACATGAACCTGGTTTTGTTTAAAACTGCACAGGACTTGACAAAAAAGATGAGGAGGAGCCTACTAAATCCCTGCTTATTTTCAATTCCCTTTTCTTACTTGAGTGACCAAACCACAATCTTGATGTCTGGAGTGGAAAAAGGTGACTGACATGGAGAGAGAGAAGGAAGGAAGCTCGGGGATCTAACAGAGGCTGAGAGGAAGCTGCCAGCCCAGGGGCTGCTCTCCCTACAGCGCCTGTGCTGGGGCAGACCCTACTGCTTCCCGACCGGGCACCCTGGCACCTAGCGCTTCCGCGCCCGGCTCTGCAGTCAGGCTTCGGTTCCCCACCACCTTCTAGCTTCTCTGGGTGTGGTTTGGTTTTGCCGGCTGTGGTGTTTGCGGGAGCAGAGTGGGGCGGTGCGTGCATGGGGGGTGGGGGAGGCTGGTGCTCACCTTTTGGGTGATGGTAGGTTTTGTTTCATTATTTTGGCCAAGACATCTGGCTGTCAGTGGGCTCAGTGCTGAAGGCAGCAGCCTAGGGCCTGCTCCTGGGCCCTCCTCGACACCAGGTGTCTGCTCACTCCTGGTGGAGGAGCTTGGTGGTGAGTGTGAGGATGCCCACCCTCCTCTGCGGACCACCATCCACCTCCAGGGCCCCATACTCACCCTGGCCGTCTCTTCTTCTCTAGGACCTCTATCACAGGCAGTTCCTTCAGATTTGACAACCGGTTTCTGAGTTTCTATTGGGTACCAGACATTCTGATTTTTGCTTAAGCCAGTGGTTGGCAAACTGGGGGTCATTGCAGCTACCTCCTAGGTCAAGGCAATGTGTGGAGCCCAATTTGGTGGTCACAGTCTCTGACATCGAGTGGGTGGAGGGCAGGGAATCCACTGGTCACCCTACAGCTCCCAGCTCCTCACAACAGACTTCGCTGACTCCATATGTTAAAATGTCACCGTGGGCAAACTCTGGTGTGGCTGGAAGGCTATAGGGCAGGGTATGATGAATAAAAAAGGACACAGTCTTTGTTCTCCTAAACAGTTACAGGAATGTGTGAAGTTGCCCATTCTGATGTTTGCATCCCCTCAATCCAGCTGGCTGCCCCACCAGCAGCGATAGTGGGCAACATTTGAGCTAAAAAGAAAAATGTGATGCTTTAGTTCTGTGTGTTGTCATAGGCAACCTTGCAAAAATGACCCTTAATAGATACAAACCATCCTCTCTCTATTGCCACACTGAGACCTCCTGACAACCTACGGGAGGCCTTGTCAAGTAATTATATCCTGGACACGTGATGTGCCAATTATATGGTGCTTTTACATTTCCAGTGTCATCACATTGACAGTAGATTCTTCCCACCCCTTAAATGCCCCCGAGGCTTGGAGACTGCTGGAATGTTGAATTAAAGCAACCTTTCTGAGCCACCTCAGAGAGCCAATAGAAAATGGATTCAGGGCTTCCCTGGTGGCACTGGGATTAAAGACAGTGCTATCAAGCAATCGCCAGCCACTGCAGCACGAGTTTGATCCCCGGTCAGGGAGCTGACACTCCTGTCTCGCCCTCTGCTCCCCTAGACAGTGTATTTCTGTACATCTGCCAGTTCTGCTTCCCACTGTGGTGAATCCTCTCGCTGCGCTCCCCTTGTTTCCATAAATATATAAATCTTAAAAGAAAATGGATGCACACCTAAACCAAAGTCTGCACCTGAGCTAGTAACAGCGAGGTGCCCTGACCTTCTCTGCTTCCTGCCATGGTCTGGGCCAGCCACTGTGCATGGACTGTCTCCTGGCCTTCATCCCTCCGCGAGGCAGTGCTATGGCTTCTTCTATTTTATAGATAAATGAAATGAATAAAAGGGGGTGAATGAGCTCCCCCACTGGAGCTGCTATCATGTGGATATGGTTAAATGTATATGTAAATTTTAAACCCAGTAAGGGAGAGAAGAATTTCAAGTACCACGACAATATTGACTTGCAAGCTTTCTCCATTCTACATTTACCATTCCCCCACTAGATAAGATGCTGAGCTGAGACATACATCTTTGCTTAGCTAAAAATGGAATCCATAATTATACTGTTTATCTGCTTCATTTCCTTAATGAAGGGGACTGTGGAAGCCCATTTCTGCTTGATTATCACAAAGGTATCATTTGGGCGAAGTTGCACAAAGAGAATGGAACTTGTTGGCACCCAGTTATGAATGGGGGTGCATTCACAGAGACAAAAGAGGAAGAAAGCTTTTCAAATGACAACTCTATTCATTCCCAATTGTCTGTACATAATTACTGTGAACCCAAGTCATTATTCTCATCAGGGACATTGGTTGCTAAGCAAACATTAAAGAAATCCAATTGTGTGGATACCCCTTTGGGTGCTCTGTTGTGAGAGAATGACAGGTCAGGGTGACTTCTGCTGGAGACATCCAGCATATGGAGGTGGGGGCAAAGCAGTGTGATGGCAAAGAATGGGGGCTTCTAGATGTGACCACCCAGGCAGTTGAGAGCAGTGTGATTTTGGCAAGCACTTTAATTTCTTTGCACTTGTGTGTCTTCAGTTGTGGAACAGGAGAGCAGCGGTCTTGTTCATTGCCTTGTAGTGAGGATTGTTATCCCCTCAGGGGATCGGCGTGCTCTTTGGTATGCAGTTGATGCCTAGGTCAGATTAGTAGGCAGGTCCTGATGGTGGCCTTGCTCTTTAAGTAATGACCTTTGTACTGGGTCTCTGTGGGACTCCAGACAGCTGTGTCTGCTTTCCCTTCTGGAAAAAGTGGAATCAGTCTACCTGAGTGCCCTGATCCTGTGTATCTACACCTGTGTAAGACAGAATTTTGAATGAGATAGAGCACCCTTAAACCACTGGCAAGTTCTTGACGGGAACTTATATGTACTGTTTTCTGTAGCACTCCAGGAAGAGAAAACTCTGTATGATTAAACCACCTTACTCTTACTTAGATTAAATGTAGCCATCACCTTATAAGATAATTCATGCATTTCCCAAAAGCACATCAAACAAATTCCAGCCAATCTGGAGTTGTGCTGCAAATATACTCAATGGTTTATCGCCCCAGCAGTTGGGGTACCCTAAAATTGACAAAAGAACAAGAATTTCATCTCCAGAAAGGATCAGCACCAAAGGAGTCTTGCCACGGAGAGCGTTGATTTATTCCTTTGACTGGGCCCAGACTATTAGAATTAGAAATGGTGTAATTATCAGGTTTATTTAAATCACGTGTGCTACCTATCTCGGCCTGCCTCAAAGACCTTTCTTCCTTTCTTTCATTGGCCACGCTTCACAGAGCAGTTAAATATATATGTGCTGGAGCCAGGTGGCCCAAGTTCAAGTTTTGGCTCGCCACATAGTCTCTGGTTGAATTTGGGCGATTTTTTCAGTCATCTCCTCCACTCACTGAACTCCAGTAGAGATAACTATTGTCCCTGTTTCATAGCTTATTTTTTTTTCTTCATTTTGTCATTTTTCACTGTTAAATAAATTAATACATGTAAAGCAGAACAGCATCTGGCACACAGTAATTTCTTTAAAAATTTAGCTGTCACCATTGTTAAGTTATTATATGACATCTGCATGTTTTTTGTCCTATCCACTTATATTCTATGCTCTTGTTTACTTCATCTTTCTTTCATTTTATGACTCACTTTCTGAAATTTAAGTTTTTAAAAGAAGCTTCCGAAATTAAAAGTCAGTATCACTTGCTACATAGAGAAATCAATTGTAAAAATAAGAACCATAAAAGTAAAGTGTCACCAAATTGTTACCAGGTACCCTGAGTACTCTGAGCTTTATGCTTGGCCTACCAATGTGAAAAAGAGAATAAATGAAAGAAAATGAAAATAAAAGATGTCAAAAATAAGAAACAAAAACAGTTGCTCCTGATGAGACCAGAGGCATTGAAACATAATTGGAAAGAGTAGGATGACCCTCCCAAGTGCTTTGCTGTGCTGTCGCTGCCGCATCCAGGGCACCTAGCCAAATTGTCCTCCCACCTAAAGGCAGGCCATGTGTCGTTAGGGACCAAGACTCTCGCCGCCTGTGTTGGCAAGGTGAATGGAAAAAACACTCAGGAGGAACATTCATTTATTCAGTGAACAGGTATCTCCCCTCTCTGTGAGGTACTGGAAGGCTCGGGGGACAGGACTTAGTCCTCTCGGAGGCTAGAATCTCCTAGCTCTTGGGCCATCACTGGGGGCGGCAGTCAGCGGGGCAACAATCTGCTTACTTCTCATCAGAAAGGCGGACAGTCTGCAGGTACAGTGAAACAGCAGCAGAAATTGTGAAACAGTAGAAGCTGTAGTGACTGAGCACTGACACAGAAAGGACACTCACAACATGCCAGCTGCGTCCATGCACTCGTTGAAATATCGGACCTCAAGCAGCCATTGGGCTTGGTGTTGTTACTCCATCTTGCAGAGGAGGACACTGCCACCGGGCGCTGAGAGATTAACAATGCACCAGGTGTCACAAAGCAGTGGCAGGATTCAGACGCCCCAGAGTTTGTGCCTTTAGTTCCTTTGCGATTAGCCCAACTCCTGGCAAGCCTGTGTTAGCTGTCTCTGACCGCCAGCACTACACGAAGGCCCTCTGAGGGAGCACGTGCAAGCCTGTGAACGGCCATGTGTGTGAGCATCCTGTTAAGACTTATGCTTGCTTTAGTCCATCCTCAGCGCAACCCTGACATTATTATAGGTTCCTCCCCTTAATATCAGTGACCAGTTCAGAAATCACATTTTCTGCATTAAAAAGCTGATTCAGAGTCTACTTCTTTCAATAAAAGCTACAATATGCTATCTATGAATTCCCAATTAATTTCTTCAAAGGTATTAACATTTAATGAAAAGTCCTGAGTAGAGATGGCAAACAGTCATCGTAGGATTTAAATGCTTATATAAACACCGGCGTTATCTGGTGGTTGCCAAACAGTGGTTTTTGCAATTGGTAACCAGGTAATATGGTTCACTTAATGGCAGCAAACTCCCACATAGACATCCCACACGCTTCCCCTTGTGGCTGCTGGCCAACCAGTTTTACTTGGAATATAACTTGAAGCATTGTCCACACCTCAGTTCCTTAAATTCTTAATGAGTTTTGGAGTTATGAATATAAGTTATATAGTAATTTATATAGCACATAGTATATATGCATCGTGTATATTAACACATACGTATATACATTTATATGTTTGTATTTCCATGTGAACAGCCAACAGTGTTGCACAATGTTGGGATGTTATAAACTTACAAGCGTTTTATTGGGAAGATGTTAACCAATGGCGTTCCTGCCAGGAGCCCTGCTTATACCAGCGTCTCCATTTTACAGATGAGAACACTGAGGATTTGCTAAACACAGGCAGCATGGATCTGTACTCCAGACTTCCCTGTCATCATTTTAACATCACAATGGCTCCTTCAGAATGCTATTTCCTTAACACTTGTTTATGTTCCAGGTTCTTTATTCAGTACAAAGTGTGTATCACTTCATTTTCTTCTCTTACATCAACCTCTCACAAAACTACTTTGCCCCAAATTTACAAATTAAAAAAAATTGAGACTTAAGAATTCTAGGCTTTGAGACTTGACCATTGTCCATAGCTCGCTGCTGTTGTTTCATCAACCCCTAAGCCTTTCCTAGACGCCTCCACGCGCGCATGTACCCGCCAGAGCTGTTCCGTGCTCTGTTGCCGGACAAGGAACTTTGTAGTAGGATAAGGTTCGTGGCTGTGACTCAAAGATATTACGTATTTTACTGTTCCATATTTCAATTTTCTTTCTGTAATAAAACCATGCAGTTGTACGGTGACCTTTGTCTCACCCTAAATAATATGGTGTAACTTACATTTTATACATTTACTCAGTTATACTTATGTGTTGTTGCTAAATTCAAGTAAGTCTGAGTCCAGAGACCCAGTGACTGATGTAGTCCCAGAAACTGAGTTCTTGCGATGCATAAATGATAGCAGATCAAGCCAACTCGACTGCGTGAGGAATTATAGCTTATAGAGTTGCTTGGCAGATGAAATCACTTGACTAATTAGAAAATAATGCTTTATGCTGTGCCTAGAAAAATCACAGAGCAGCGGGAGCGGAACTACGTTCAGCATCCCTGTGGACTGCCATTCATAATAAAGCCTGTGCCTCCTATTCTTTATCTCTCTCTCTCACTTTTTTTTTTTCCTTCCTTATCCCAACAGCCCAGAAATTGAAACAGACCCTGGAGCCTTGTGATACTGAGTACCCAGCGTTTGTCTCTGAGCGCACCATCAAGGAAACCTCAGGGAACATTGCTTGTGAAGACTGCTCCAAGTAAGCCCCCCGCCCCTCTGCTCCGTGCGGGATGCCGGTCCGGAGCCACAGCGGCCACGCATTACACTAGCCGGCAACATGGCTGCCCTCTGGTGTGGGGAAGTGCTTCCATCGGCTTGGAAGGAACAGCACTTGGTTTTGCTAGAGAGATTGTTTAGAGTCTGGAAAGTATTCAGAATGCATCCTAAAATATGGGAGATTTTTAGTCCAGTTTGTTGATGTTTGGGAAATCCTGATTGATGTTTTCCCAACTGGCAGTTGGCAAGTTCAGCTATCGGTTCAAGGAAAGTCATTATGTGTCTTGATTGAAGGCACCAATTCTTCAGGTTTCCCGCATTCGGGTGTAATGGCAGTGAATCTTGGTGGTTCAGTATGCATCTCCCTGATTACTAATGAGGTTGGGGCTCTTGTAACATTTTTTTTTTTTCTTCTCATCATTTGGGGCTTCTGGCCTCCTCATTCCAGCTGGCTTATTCTCTCCAGGGAGGTGGTCAATCCTTGTTGAATTAGGTATTTCCGGTACGATTTCTTTGCAGTTATAAGCTTTGTTTATGTGTCATCCTGTTCCTTGCTCCCTCTATTCGCTTTTTATAGATGTTGCTAGATGCATAGAAATTTCCTTTGCATTCAGTTAATTGTGGTCTAATTTGTTCTTTTTTTTTTGATGATCTGTGCATTTTGTGCTTGTTTAAGAAATTTGTCTGTCATAACGTTACAATGATATGCTCAGTTCCTTACTGCAAGTCCTTTAAAGTGTGGCCTTTGAGGTTTAGGACTTTAGTCCTCTGGAATCGATTTGTGTGAGTGGTTTAAGGTAGGTCTGACTTGGTACTTTTCCACACAGTTGGTCTTTTAACGAGCACTTTTTATCTAATTAGATTTATTTGGGTTTGTAGAATTTAGATTTACTTTGACACCTTGGGCTGAGTTTCCATATATATGCATATGTTTTCAGGTATCATGGTTTGTCAATACCTAGGTCAATACCATATCTCTATAATTGTTAGAGCTTTGTGATATGATGTGCTATTTAAGAGAACAAATATCCTTTCTTTTATTCTTCTCAGTCATCTTGGCTTTGCTTGTTGCTTTACTCCTTCATATTAATCCTGGAATGCATGTATCAAATTCCATGATTTATGCTAGGGTTTTGGTTAACATTGTAATTTTTTATGACATGGGAACGTCTCCTTTTATTAACTAAGTATATCCCTTTTTTTATATGCATTTAAATACAGTTGTATAATTTTACATTACACTTATATCCAGAAAGCTTATAGTGTTTCTTCAGAAATGGCATGTTTTAAGCTATATTTTCTAATTGGTAATTGCTTGTACATCCCTATTTCTATATACTGAATATCTTGTACATAATACTAAATGTCGACCCAGTAACGTGGGGAGTGGGGGGGGGGCGGGAAGCTCCTCTGTACTTCTTTCATACACAATTATCATTTATGAAAATTTTGCTTTCTGATCTCTGTACTTAGTTATTATTTAATTGTACTAGAATTTTGATATATTATTGAAAAGAAGCTGTGAGAATAGACAACTATATCTTTGTCTGAATGTAAAGAAATTTCTTCTAATAATCCCATATTAAATATGATGTTTGCTATGGAGCCTTTAGATTATAGCAAAATATAAATCATAGCCAATTTACCTTTGTACCTGTTTTTATTATAATTGTACACTTCAAAGCCAGGAGCAAATATTCATTTCCAGAATTGCTGTAACATTAGGTTGAGGAAAACCTCTTCAAGAGTGTTCGTTGTTATTTTTTGAAACTTGCATGGATATTGATTTGCATAAAAATTCATTTCTATGTACATTTCCAAAATAATTTTAATGTATTTATATGTTGAGAATATTGATATAAATATAAAAACAATGATAAATTATGAAATATACATGCTAAAAGATCCCTTGTACTAGTTGGATCATCCAATGTGAAAATACAGTTGCTTTCCCAGGACAAACCTTCATTGTTATGATGACAAAAGGCAGAAACAAAAGCCATAGTGCTTGATTCATTCACTTATATTGTGTCAAGAACCTTTGCATCTGTGCTCAAAAAGCAGAGTAGGCTGTACTTGTACTGTCATTTGGCTTTGCTGTTGAGGTCATTGTATGGTCACAAAATTACTTGGGTAATTTTCCCTCGTTGCTTAACATCTTTAGCATCATGTTTAAGATTAAGTGATCTGTTTCTTACAGGTTTGCTAAAATATACCCATACAACTGTTAGCAACTGAAGAGCTATTGTTTGGGTGGGGTTTTTTTTTGTTTTTTGTTTTTTTTTTTTTTTGCTTTTTGTGTGTGTCAGTAAATTCCTCACTACTGAATTAGTTTTCTTAGTGGCTAGGTTATCTCTTTGGAATTTGTTATTTGGGAAATAATTTTGATGGTTATATATTTATTCAAACATTTCATCTCACTTCTCATGTTTATTGTATGCATTTGTTAATAGTGTTCTCCTTTGATTAAAAATGCTACCATTTTTGTAATTTTGCTTTATATCAGTCTCTCTATACCTCTCTCCTTTCTCCTCCTCCTTACTGTCCTTTTCCTCCTCTTAACTCCATCCTCTTATCGATCCCTCCCTCCTGTCCTCTCTTCCTTACCAGCTGAGAGTTTCTTTCCAAAGAACCATGACTTAGCTTGTCTGATTCTCTTTTCTGTTCTCTATTTCACTTTTGTTTTGGCTTACTATCTGTATTATTACCTTTCTTCTAAGTGATAGGGGTTTACTGTGTTTTATTTTCTAACATTTTGTGTTTGGTGCTTAACATTTTTACATACACACACACATATATATAATTTCTCTCTGCATTCTAGTTTCTCTCCATAAATTTAATATGTGGAGATTTCACTGCTATACAACTCACATTTGTCTAAGATTCACTATGTTTTATCTTTAAGTTTTTAAATAGTATTTTAAATTTCTTACTACATGGATTTTTGATACTTTTTATTATTGATGTCTAATTAAAAGACCTTGTGGTCTTTAAAACACATGTTTTTTAGTGTGTGTGGAGATTTGCTTTGTATTCTCATACTTATCCATGTGTTTCTGCAAACAAATAACATTCTTTAATAGTTGGGTATAAGGATTAATATATAGCTACTGGATCAAGATTTTTTATTATGTTTCAAACTTTCCTTACTGGAGAGTCTATTTTAGATGTCAATTTTTCAACAAGTGTAGATTTTTCATGTCCTTAGGGATTTCAGTTCATTTTGCTTTCTATATTTTTCAAACTATGGACATCCCTGTTTAAGACGGATATATCTTCCCGACAAGTCATTCTTTAATAACTATGTAACAGCTTTCTTTACAAGGACATAATATGTGTATCTTATTTTTTAATAGTATAGTGCAGTAGTTATTCTTTGGTAATATTTCCTAGAAATATTTTACCCCTTGATTTCGTTTTGAAATATATCTGGGCTTGAAATTTTTTGTTATGTCTATTTATTGGTTGATTTAATATTTTAAAATTTTATTGTGCTTATAATAAGTCTAAATACATTTCTGCCATCATTTTACACTTTTTTTTTAAAGATTTATTTGTGCATACAGAACTGGGGTACAGGCCAGAGATGCGGAGGGTGAGAGGATTCACCAGAGACAGAGTGGGGAGCAGAATAGGCAGATGGACGAAGCACACTGCTAAGGGGAGCAGCGGGTGGGTCAGGAGAGGTCTGCCGTGCCATGTGGTCACCTCCGGGGCAGGCAGGAATTGAAGTCATGCGGAAGTGGCTTTAGCTTCTCAGTGCTGTGCTTTTAACCTGCTGCACCAGGGAGGGCCATTTTACACTTTTTTTTTTAAAGATTTATTTATTTATGCATACAGAACTGGGGTATACAAGCCAGAGGTGCAGGGGCAGTGAGAGGATTCACCAGAGACAGAGTGGGGAGCAGAACAGGCTGATCAAAGAGGCACACTGCTGAGGGGAGCAGCAGACAGGTCAGCAGAGGTCTGCCAAGCCATGTGGATCACCTCGGGGGCTGGGGATCAAGCATGCACTCAGGTGGCTGTGGCTCACTTGCAGTACTGAGTCCTTACCAGATGTGCCACCAGGGAGGGCCCCCCATTTAATGATTTTTAATCCCCATGCTTTTTTCTTGCTTTTTTTTTTATTTTTAGCTGTCTGTTCCTCTATTCCTTTTCCCCCCTTTTTAGTATGCAAAGCACATACTCTTAGTAGTTACCTTTAACTCTTCTATCATGCTTTAATTGGTTAGGATTGCTTCTATCTTCCAAAAAAAACAAAAAGTTAAACACTGTCTAATGGGGTTCACATCCCATTTGTTCATTGTATATCTTCTGAATTTCTCTATGTTTTAACCAACCACATATTTTACTATTGCCACTGCTGCCTATAGGAAATCACATGCTTACCAATTCGTTGAATCAACATTGCTTATTAAAAAAAAAAAAAGCCTTTTAAAGAAATTACCTCAAAATATTCTTCAAAAATTATGTAGAATTGGTAGATTCTGTCATTCCTGTCTAAACACCATATGTAATGTGGACTCTGCAATGCTAATTTAATTCCATAGTAGCAGAAATGAAGTATTTGGAAGATACCATTCTGTCTCTGACTTTTAGCTTTGTATGTTTGTAAGTAATCTCCCCCTCTCAGGTAATTTTTCAAGTATTTACTTAACTTCTTTAATACTCTGCAGTTTCACTATGCCTAAATTGAAAATATTTCTGTGTATTTGCAACATTCACTTATGTTGCGAATTTACTAATTTACTTTGGATTGTGTCTAATGTGCTGCTTAAAGAATTCATTGAATTTTCAATATGATTGTCTTCTTATTTCAGAAATTTTATTTGATTTTTGAAAAAAAAAGGTAGTCTTTTATATAGCATCTTATTCTTAGATGTTATATACCTAATTATTTGGGCTACTATTGGTTTAGTACTACTAATATTGGTTTAGTAGTTTAAATTTTAATTCTCTGTTAATTATCTATTTTCTTTCATG